GTGAACCTCCTGCAAAGTCCTGTATGTAGGGTAAGCACTACTGAACAATGAGTGAAATACCAGTGTGTCACCCACATTATTCTCATACTACGAGCAAAACAGCACTGTACAAGCTAAGATGAAAATGAACTATCCCAGCCAAAACTAGGCTATCACACTTTCTATTCATATCTGCTTAATATGGAGTAACTGGTCAATCCAAGGACAGTGACTGAATATAAGTTGGTTCAATTAATCTTATTTGGAAAGAATTAATACAATAAGGATGTGTATGCAGTTTTAGCCTTGACATATTCCCTACATTTCCTTTACAGCCTCACAGGTCATCTATGTCCATGAAGGACAATGTAACAGATGTTGAATTCACTCATAATCTTTAACTAGGTCTGTAGCCTTCTACAGACTAGAGACATTGATAGTCATTAACTAAATGCAGTCCAATAGAGTTGTAATTGGTCACTTATGCTTTTTGTAGGGGACTGTTGTTTCATAAACGTCATTCTTTCCTCTACATTTCTTGAAGTGCAGCTCTGTTTATCAGACATGGGTAAAGTTATGAAGAAAATGAAAATGAAGACATTTTCTGAAACTAATTTCTATGGTATCTGAGTGTTTCAAACTTACCTTCACTTACCCCACATAAGGAAATTATGTTTTGGTTAAAACTGTGAACTAAAATGAAAGCAGTTTTAATAATCTTGGATACAACTGACAGATACACGCTTCTGTGGGTTAAGAGAGTGATGGTGAATGGTGCCACATCCACTTGTTGGCCAGTCATCAGTTGTGTCCCAGGAATCAATGTTGGGCCCAGTCCTATTTAATATCTTTACTGATGATCTGGATCAGGGCATTGAGTCCATCAGCAAATTTGCAGATGACACCAAGCTTGGATTGAGTGTTGATCTGCAGGAAGGTAGGAGAGCTCTGAAGGGACCTGGACAGGCTGGATAGATTGGCCAAATCCAAAGATAGGAGGTTTAACAAGTCCCAGTGTGAGGTCCTGCACTTTGGCCACCACAACCCCCTGCAGTGCTACAGGCTGGGGACAGAGTGGCTGCACAGTGGCCTGGCAGAAAGGGACAGTGCCAGACTGAGGAAGAGCTTGGCCAATGGCATCCTGGCCTGTATCAGGAATAGTGTGGCCAGCAGGACCGTGGAACTCAATCTTCCCCTCTTCTTGGCACTAGTGTGAGTGCATTGTGAGTGCTGTGCCCATTTCTGGGCCTCTCAGTTTAGGAAAGACGTTGAGGTGCTGGAGCGTGTCCTGGGAAGAGCAGCAGAGTTGGTGAAGGGTCTGAAGCACAAGTCCTGGGAGGGGCAGCTGAGGGAGCTGGGGTTTCTTAGCCTGAAGAAAAGGAGGCTCAGGAAGGCCTTGTCACTCCCTACAATTGCCTGAAAGGAGGGTGTAGCAGATGGGAGTCAGTCTCTTGTCCCAGGCAACAGCAACAGGGCAAAACAACACAGTCCTAAGCTGCACCGGGTTTAGGTTGGACATTAGGAAGAATTTCTTCACAAAAGGAGTGATGGGGCATTGGAATTGTCTATACAGGGAGGTGGTGAGGTCACCATCCCTGCAATGCCATGGTCTAGTTGACAGGGTGGTGTTAGGTCACAGGCTGAACTTTGTATTTCTAAAAAGTGAGCTCAAGAACCTTAGCAGACATGCATAGAATCAGAGACTCACAACATGGTTTGGACTGGAAGGGACCTTAAAGATGATTTCATTTCAACCCCGCTGCCATTGGCAGGAAACCTTGCACTAGACCAGGCTGCTCAAAGCCCTGTCCAACTTGGCATTCAACAGGCATGCAGATGTTTTTGCTAGTATTAGCCTATTACTGAAATTAGCCTATTACTGATAGCTGAACATAAGTCTATGAAGATATCAGAATTTTACAATTCTACATGCAAGCAAAAGATGAAAGCCCAGCTTCCAGCAAAAGGCTATTAACTGCACACTACCTCTGGTTCCTCTTCACTCTGATATTTGGAGTTTCAGGGTCAGTCCTATGAATCTTGGAAACCTGACCTTTCAAACTGTTACCTCTTTGCAGAGCTTTGAAGTATTGAAGAGCTTCAAATCTGTAGTCAACATCTGTAGAGTTGTGTTATTTTTCATTTTAGCCAAGTTCTATTGCGTTATATTATGTACGCGGTCTGTTCTATGTTCAGTTGGTTTGTTCCATGTACCCCCAGTTTTTTAAGTTGGCTCCTCCCCCAGTTTCCCTCCCCTGTCACTCCTCCCCAAAAGTGCCAAGTCATTCCCCTGTCCCCTCCCAGGATCCCTGTCCGTCACCCGGTGCCCCTGCCCCTCCTTCCAGAACCTTCTACCCAGGGCATCGTGTGATTGGGTCAGGTCCTGGCCCTCCCCCGCCCCCCCCCCCATATCCCTCTCCTACTGGCCCTTTCCCCAAGAGCGAGCCACACCCCATTGGTCCCAGTTTTCCCCGCCCCCTGCAGTATAAAATCCCCTGACATCCAGTTCCAATCGCCTTCTCTGGCAGGCACCATTTCTGTCAGCTGGGTCCTTGTCAGTGCACTATCCCCGTTGGGACCCAATAAAGAGGATTTTGACCCCCAGAGGAGGACTCTCTTTTTGTCAGCACCGCGGGGATTTCGGCTGCGTCTCTATCAACCCACACAGCGCTCTCCAAAGCCCACCAAGGTCCAGCGGAGGGTGCTGGAGACCTGCCCACTCTCTCCCTCACGGAGAGCTAGCCGGGGGCGAGACGAGGCTTAAGGGGGAGAATGCGGCAAACATCTCTTTGTGGGTCAAGCATCTCCAAATGCACAACATTCTCTGACTTGATTTGATTAAGCTGCCCTCCTTAAATCCTTCCTTGGACCTGTAATTACAAAAGGCTGTAGCATGATCAGAGACACAGCATATTTTTAGCTGTACTACTTACACTAACTGTCTCTGAAACTTCAATAGTCTACTGGTTTATTTTAGTTATTGTTTGGGATGTGGTTTTTGTTTGGTTGGTTTTTTTTGTGGGTACTGCAAGAGATGGAGAATGATGGTGAACCAGATTAATACCCCAATAAAAAGCACAGACTACTTTTAGTGTGAGTCAGTACTAGCCTGGTTCACTTTGCCATTTAGTAGTACTTGCGAAAAGAGATGGAATGAACTTCAAATGTTAGGACAAAATTGCTTACATCAATAATATCCCTAATATCTCACCGAAAGACCCACATGTAAGTGCAACTTTTTTCTAACATGGGAAATACAGGGCAAATAAGTCTTAATGTGAGAGGCTCTAACATAATTTCCAAAATGTAAACAAACTAGTTCTCCAAGAGATGATAGTATCTTCTGCACCAAAGAAGAAAAGTATTTCACTTGCTCCTTCCTTAGGTATTGCACAAAACAGGAAAATATGTTGCCCAGAGAGGTTGTAGATGTCCCATCCTTGGAAACATTCAAGGCCAGGCTGTACAGGGATCTGAGCAACCTCATCTGTTTGAAAATGCCCCTGATTATTGCAGAGGGGCTTGGACTAGATGGCCTTTAAATGCTTCTTTCTACCCAAACTATTGCACTGAGATCAAAAATAAAAGGTCACTGCTTTGGGTCATTACAGAGAGAGCAGCTGGGAGTGACTTTGATGAAAAATGTTTCTTCCACATATGTCCATGGCTCTAATTTGCGGAATTTTGCCATCAGTCGTGACTGGGATATAAGAGGGGATGAAATATTTCAGTTGCACATGAAGTATGTGGCAGTTTTCAGATGTCCTTGGAACTGGAACCTCACAACCATCCTGTGCAGGTAGAACCATGAGAGCATTTGCATGATGCAGGTTGTCAGCAGTCATCTGACCAACTCTGGAGAGCTTTTCAGGGAGGAAGGCACTGTATCCTTGAAATCAAACCCAGATGCTTCTCACTATGCAAGTACAAAACAATTGGGACTGCTTGCCGTGATCAATGTTTTACTGTAGGCCAATGCAATATAGCCCTCCCGTATTTCTGAAGATGCCTGAAACATCTAAAATGAAAAACTGTCCCGTCTTTTATTTTTACAAACTCCTAAGTTATCAAAATAGAAACCTGGGAGTTGTTATGTGTAGCAGATATAATTCACGGCATTTCTAGTATGATATATGTGATATTGAATATTTGTTGGAGTATACACATTTGTATTAGGATTCCCCCCCATCCTTGCAGGCGAAACCTGGTGTATGTTGAAACATAATTTACAAGTAAAAGGATGTGGCTCGGCCAGGAGATGGGGATGGGCCATGTCTGGAGAGAGACGGGACGCCCAAGGGCTGATCATGGCATGAAGGACCCGAGATGGATATCAAAATCCTCGGGCAGATACATGTGAATGCAGCTTCCCGTAAATTTCATCAAGGGATTCAACAAACTCCGGACACTGAATTGTTCTTCCTCATCACCAAAAAAAGAAAATCTCATTAACCTATGGACTCTGAATGGAAGAAAAGACTGACTACCGAAATCTTGGCCTCAGGCGGAATTTTTCCGATAAAAACCGCTTGTGCCAGGATGGAGGTTGTGTGGGCATGGGGAAAACCTCTGCTGAGGGTGACTTCTTGTTACACACCCAGCGCCGACCCCGGGCTCGGCTCTGTTCTTTCCTTGTGGCTGGCTAGATGGAATTTGATTGCAAAATAAATATTTTTTTTCATTTTAATTTGGTTGGACAAATTTTCATTTATAACAAAGCGGATAAACGACCTTCCCGGTGAGATCTACCAGCACTCGAGCAACAAACAGCCCGCTACCTAGATGCCGGTAACCGGCTGATTCCTGTCAGCGTTGCCCGCTCGGAGTTTATTCCAACGGAGTCGCTCACAGCGCGGTTTCTGAGCAGCGCCCGCTCTGAGGGCGGCGCGGTCGGGAGCGCGCAGCCGCCGCCGCTCGCGCTCCGCTTCCGCCTTCCCCGCCGCGCCCCCGGGCGCTGACGTCAGCACGCGCGGGCCCCGGAAGCGGAGCCAGCAGGGGGCGGGCGCTGGGCCCGGAGCGGCCGCGCGCTCCCGGTGACGGCGCCGCGCGTGCCGCGCTCCGCCGGCGGCAGCGCCAGGTACGTGCGGGGCCGCGGCCCTCGGGTACCGCCCGCGGCCCTCGGGTACCGCCCGCGGCCCTCGGGAGCCCACCTCTCCAGCCCTGCAGCGCGATGGAGACCGCGGCCCCGCGGTCGTCCCGTGTGCTGGCGTCAGGCCCAGAACGACGGCGGGAGCGGACGGGGCAGCGGCGGCCGTCCCCGATCCGTCCGCGCCCGCCGCGTGGGCTGGCGGAGCGGGTGTGGAAATGCCTGTGTGCCTGCGTCGCCGGGGGTGCGGGGGACGGCCGCCGTGCCGCTGCCCCGGGCTGGCCACCGGCTCTGCCCGGCGCTGCGCCGTGCCCGCTGCCGCGCCACGCTGTTCGCACTTTCGCAACCTTTTCCCGCTATCACGGCTGTCACACGAACCAGAAACAGGGAATATAACAGTTACAATTTTCATTTTTCTACATAAAATCGAAGGGTTTTGCTTTTCGGAATGTGTCCTTACATGTTTTGGTGCAGTCAGCTGCTTTTGCCAGACGAGACTTGCCAGTTTTCCCCGCTGCCTAATGCAAGCTTTCTATATAGTCGTAAATGATAAGTCATTTAAGCGTGATTCTTCTGACTTTATGATTTAGCTGGGTTTGAGTGATAGTTTTCATTCCAAGTATTGCTCTTCTAATTAGGTGGGATTGAACACTTCTCTTTAGACTTAAGTTTCTTGTAGTTGTTGTGACAGCTGAGAAAGGTGCATGAAATACTTCCCATTTCTGAGTTATCCAAATGCAGGGAAATGATTTTTCAGTTTAAATTGTTACTTTTGCTTGGTTTTGGTTTGGGAGGGATAAGACTCAAAATTTGTAATTCTAACAATTAGAATCTTCTAACAATATAGATTGGGCATCTGTAGTCCCTTTCCAAAACCCACTCTCTTAGCTTTTTGAGGAACTGTTGCCTTTGCTTTTCTTTCAAAGCTAAGTACTGAAGGTTTTGAGAGATATTGAACTGGTTTCCTTCCAGATACCTAACTTCTACTGTGGTGTTGCATGAGCTAAGCTGCTCAGAACCACATAAGCCAGCTTGTCACAAAATGTGTTTTCCACTTTACAGTTTTTTTTTGTCATGAATTTTTGGCTAAAGTACTGAGTTTGCATGAGCAGGTAACAGACATTGTTCAGGACATACCATCACTGGCAAAAAAAGTGTTATAAAAGCATTAGCAATTACAAAGCTAACTGGATACTTTTGATTGTAACGGAGCACCAGTTTGGTGACACTGAAGAGGGAGGTGTTAATAATATTTGCCTTCAAAGGAGAAGAAATACCCATAATACAGCAGAAAGGTAGTGTCCTTTTAGTAACCCTTAGTATTTTCTTGGAATCTTTAAGGAGGCAGGTGGTGAAAGAGTGGCATCATGTTCTATTACAAATGGCAAAGCAGTCTTATGATAGCATCTTGGTTAAAGAATGTAAAATTAGGTATTTTGTAATTACGTAGGAAAAAGTGAAAAAGATCTTGTGTAGGGGAAACTAAAATTTTTACAGCTGGGGATAGTTGCTTGGGGTGTGTCACAGAGAGCAGTCAATGTGAAAATGCAGAAAGGATATCTTTATATGCTCCTCTGGGTTTAGAATTTACTACATCTGATGTTCTGAGTGTTTTACATATTATTTCACTTTCTTTAAAAACTAAAAAAAACATTATTTTCTGACCAGAGTATTGGTCTTCACAGGGTAGCTCCAGATAGAAGCCCCGGGTGATGGCTGTTGCTGAAGTCGCTGCCAGTACTTACTGCCTGCTTGTCAGCTGGAGGTCTGATGTGCCTACCACCGCTGGTGTTAGTCTAGGCACGCCCCAGCCCACCTCTGGCAGAACATGGTGGGTTAAGACAGGTGTAATATTTATTGTGTTTAAGCTGACCTGACTCTTTTTGTCTGCAGTAGGTTAGCAGATGCGGGTAGGTGTAGGAATGAGATGAAAACTTCCAGCAGGCCAACAGTCCTGAGCAGCTGGAGGCAGACAAGGGCCTCGTCATTTCAGATGCACAGTGCACACTCAGACTGCTCTCTTAGTGAAATACCTTTAATTATTGGGAGTTTTCTCACCAGTGCCTGGATTTTGTCTGTCTTCTTGAGATTGCCTTTTCAGTGATTGTAGCCAATTATGACTATATTTAAATCTGCAAGTTGATTTGACCATGGTCTTTACTGAATTGCCTTTTATGTACTAGTTAGCAAATGTTTGGGAGAGCTTCTCCTTATAATTACTCAGTGGGGATTTATCTTTTAGAATCTCTTCTTTTAAGTTCACAACCTTATTTTTTTTTCCCTTGAAGACTCAGCACTGACTCTGGAGGTTTTGCCCATTCCAGGCTCTATAGAAAAAGTCCTGAATACAACTCTATTGCTGATACTTTGAATCTGCCCCACTGTTCCTTTGGGGAATAATGTGCTGTTGTAACTGAGGAGTTTTTTAGATTTACAATAGATTACTGGAATTCTTTGAAGTAAAGCATACATACAAAGAATGAATAGATATCTTTTAAATTTTTTTCCACAAGCTTACTGAAACAAACTTGTTAACAATGGACATGAAAACATCCTCTTATGAAATTTAGTACTACTCTGTGAATTTGTTTGGTGCTTTAGAAGGACATTTTATTTCTCTTCACAGGTACTGTTGTACATATATCTACTTAGCCTGCAGATGAGTTTCACAGATTTGTACTGAGTGGAATTCCCAGAGTACAATTTAATTGGCTTAATTTTGTTACTTTTCATGGTTATTTTCCAGCATTTTATTTGCTGTATGGACTTTGAAGAACTCAATATTTAAGTACTCACAACATTCCTTACTCTGTTATTGTAGTGTGACTGAGTTTTATTGGAAAGTTGAAAGATTTGCTTTTATATAATCCTTACCTTTCTGCTCAGCTCATTATCAGTTACTCAGTAGTATGTTAGTTTTGGTAACAATTTTTGTTTTATGGTTGACTGTTTTCATGAATCAGACTGGGACCAAAAGTTACTTACCTTCAGCTACAGACCCACTCCATTAAAAAAAGTGCCCAGGATGGAGTTTCATAGCCTGTTCGCATTTGATCCCTGTTGCTGGAATGGGGACCTCTTCTCTCTGCTTCCTGCCCCTTCTCTCCAAGCCAAGCGGAAGATAACTGGCTGCACAGTGAGCCAGGTAAAGAAGCAGATCCAGCTGATACAGAACTAGAGATAGGCAATGCTTCTCATGGCTTAGGTTGCTCACTGACGTGAATGCCACCATAAGTAGTAGTGATAGGACACAGGGCAGCGGCTTTAAATTGAAAGAAGGCAAGTTTAGATTAGCTACTAGGAAAAAAATTTTTACAGCAAGGATGCTGAGACATGAGAGCAGATTGTCCAGAGAAGCTGTGGGTGTCCCATCCCAGGATGTGGAAGGCCAGACAAATGTTTTGGACAGACTGGTTTTGTGAAAGGTGATGCTGTCCATGGAAGGTCACTGAACTAGATAAACCACAAGGTATCCCAAAACCCAAATGCTTTTATGAGTCTATAAGAAATAACGTAGAACTTGCGTGGAGAATCTGGAAGTAGGAGAAGGGCTGTAAGTGTATCGTACAGACTACAGCAGATCATGAATCTGCCTCCTGAGTCACCTTGTACTTTGTGGTGAAAGTTTCTCAACCACTTTTCTGAGCAATCTTTCTAGTGAGTTAATTAGGAGTGATACTGCTGGTGAGGCTGGTGGCCTGCTCTGTGGTCTAGTCAAGTCTTCACTGCCTTTATTCCTGTTACACTCTCCTGAAGAGTATTGACCTCCATCTGGTTGGAACCTCTCTGGTATTGCTGTTTGTATTCTGTCGAGTGTGTGTCTAAACAGGAAAGGTAAACCATGTAAGACTTTATCAGGCTAATTTTAGGTGTTTCTGCTGTTGTGTTTTCTGTATTCTTCCAGGTTCTGTTGGCCAGCAGAAATTCAGGAGACCAATCTGTGCAAAGCTTCCTATATAGACTTTTGGCTATTATAGGTATTGATTTTAAATACATAGGTGAAATAAGTATTGTCTTGGCAAAAACTCTATTAGCTGAATCAATATATTTGGTATGGCTGTTAATTTAAGAAACTTTCTGTCAGCAAGCAGTTTATTCTGTGTCGTGATTTAACCCCAGTTGACTACTAAGTACCATATAGCCTGTTAGTCACTCCCTTCCTTTTTCTCCCTGTCCCAGTGGAATGGGGAGTGAATTAAGAAAAAGAGGTAAAAATTGTGCATTGAGATAAAAGCAGTATAATAATTGAAAGAAAATAAAATGCTACTAATGATAATAATTTTAGTGAAGAGGAGAGAGAAAGGGAAATAAAACTCGAGACAGACAAGTAACATGCAGTACAGTTGCTTACCACCTGCTGACTAATATCTAGCCCATTCTCCCTTCTGGGTAGCTTCCCCAGTTTATATACTGGACACAATGTTCTATGGTGTGGAATGTTACTTTGGCAAGTTCATATCACCTGTCCTGGCTGTGGTCCCTCTCAGCTTTTTGTGCAGCTACTCACTAGCAGAGCACGAGACACAGAAAACTCCTGGACTTGGGGTAAGCACTGCTTAACAATAGCCAAACCATCCACAACATTATTCTCATCCCAGATCCAAAACACAGCACTGTACCTCTCATCCTGAATGCAAAACACAGCTACACTAACCCAGACAAAACCAAGACATTCAGGCAGGCAAATGAAAGAATTTTCTTTATTGCATGTTTAGAAAGAGAGATGATGATTAAAATAAGCATTAGCTGTACACGTTGTCAATAAGAATTAGCTATACACATTGTCAATGGTACTGCAAGTTAGCCAGTTTCACTTTTGACTGGAAGCAGGTCCCTACCTGAAGCACCAGTAATGTTAGTGCTTATGTTTTTTGATGCTTGTGCATTAAAAGTCAGGCCCATCACACTATATTGTCCCAGTTTCTGCTTTTATTAGTGTTGGTAATTATCAGTGGGTAATAAGGAATTTTACTATAAATTTCAAGTCAAAGTCTAGGCTAATTTTCTTTTTCTTTTGAGAGGGACATGAAAGTGTTGATTGTATTGAAAATATTCTTGATTACTCTTAAGTACCCCACAGCAACTCCAAGATGTAAGTAAAAAGTATGAAATTTAATAGGAAGATAGCTTTGGAAATTGTGAACTATTTCCCAAGATAGCTAGTCTGGATTTGCCTGAATTACAAGCTCCATAAACTTGCCATTTTCCATTTGTGGTATCTTTCAAAGTACTTAATTCCAATTCTCTGGACATTTAATATTGTGGGATAGACACATTATGCTGACCCATAGGGCTTTTTTCACTATATCAGCTTTTTGCAGTGTCTATAGTGAAAGCTCCTGGTGGGACATGGCAAAAAGTGGTCTCTCTGGTTTCTTGTCATCCCTTGACTGAGGTATACTTTCTCTTAGGAACGGGAATAGTAGACCCCTCATTGTTCTATTTTAGGTGTATGAAGAGAGGTGGTTTATTGTACTTTGGAGCTGTTTTATACTTCTGTGTCTTGGTTTTTGGAGTAGTAGCTGCTTGTTTGAGAATATGGACAAAGTAGTTCTGATTGATCATGTTGTCAGAGTGCCAGGTACTCTTCAGCTTGTCTTCAGTGCTGTGTTGAAGACCAAACCTAACAAATAATGTGGTACTTATAGTTTCTTTTTAAGTTCTGCAGGCCAGGCTTTATAAAGCCTTGAAATTCATGTTTGGGTGGCTGTCACGATTTGGCATACATACATGCAATACATGCAAATCTAAGTCTCCTTGTTTAACTTACGAAGGTGGTAAACTAACTTTGCATCCTTCCTTCTTTTTTTAGGCATAATGTGTAGCAAATCTTGAAAACATACTGCTTTTTTCCTAACAAATGGGCATCTCATTCCTCTTGCAGAATGTGTGTTACAAACCCACCTCAAGAAGGAAAATGTTAATTGGGCTAGATTTGAATAAATACAGGCACCACAGTCAAAAGGAAAGCTGAAAGTATTTCAAAGAAGAAATGGGTTTACAGGAAGCCTCTTTGAAAAAGCCATTATATAAAAGCATTATTAAAATTTGGTGAAATGAGAGATAAATAGATGTGCTCATGAACACAGTCTGTATGTCTTGAATAATGATCATTGTACTGAAACAGTATCTCCCCACTGAAACACACTATTCAGTCTTGTGAAATAAAGTCTGAATGAAAAGAGAATTCTGTATATGTATGTTGGTATCTGCCATGCTGCAGGAGTGTGTTAACATAGCCTACCTGCAAGCCTAGGAGGAACATCTCAGAACAAGCATAGCCATCAAAATCAAAGCTACAATTTATGCAAACTTGCATTTGATACATGCTAATCAGTAAGTCAAAAATGGTGGCAGTTTCCTTATACTTTATTTTAAATATTTGCATCTTGGAATAGCAGAGTTTGAATTTTGGAAGCATAAACTATTTCCTACCACAGTGATCACTGCTTGAGTCCTTCTTTTGCTCTTTCTTTGTTTCTTTCTTGGCCACGTTGGCAAATCAGGCTAAAAAGTTTTTAGGCAGCAGCTGTATCCCAGTTCTGTCACCTCAGTTGTACCAGGTGAAAATTGATAAATTAAAAGTGTACTCATTAAAAAAAAAAAAAAAAAAAAAAAAAAAAGAGTAGGGAGGGGGGGAAGTAAAAGAAAGAAAGGAAGGTAGTTTTAACTCAGATCAAGTCCCTATTTTGGTTTAACTCAGATGTGATTCCCTGAACTGGTTCTCTGTGCATTGCTACAAACAGTTCTGTCAGTTGAGGGGACAGCATGGGTAGGGGGTGGGACTGCTAAAGTCGTTTTGCAAAGATGTGTTTGTGAATATGTCTTTTG